GAAAGAAAGAAAGAAAGAAAGAAAGAAAGAAAGAAAGAAAGAAAGAAGAAATCATAGTCTGATTTGGAAAACAGGATTAAATTTGAGAAAAAAAAATCAACCATCTGTTTCTTCTGCTAATGCATTATATAAATATAGACTCCATCGGCAGCAGCTGCTGTTTTTGGACCTTGGAAAAGGAAAGGGCAGTTGATGGCTCCCCTTTTTAGGGACCCCTAGACATTCAAGGCATTTTCACGAGGCTAGACAGAATATACTGCTACAAAATCTTGAAAGATTTTTCAGAATGGAAAGAAGTTAACAATTCTCTTTCAGAAATTTCTGCTTCAAATGGTTCATATGTATTTGCAAGTCAATGAGCATGTCTTAAATAATCTTAAATTATATACAGTAAATCTATTTCAGGACAAGTTTTGGTAGCTGAGAAGGACAGCTAGGGGAAGGAAGGGCATCCTGGGAGCAGATGACAGGGAAAGCCAATGCCCCAGAGAACTGGGAATTCAGTGTAGAAAGGTTTTGGATACGTGATTAACATACAAAATATACTTTTATTTTATATGTTAATGAGGAGCAATTGAAAATTGAAATGCAGATGTATCATATATACTTTATGAGCTTTAAATGTGATTTTTGTTTTTGTTTTCAAGACATGGTTTCTCTGTGTAGCTCTGGCTGTCCTGGAACTCATTCTGTAGACCAGGCTGGCCTCCAATTTAGACACCCACCTGCCTCTGCCTCCCAAGTGATGGGACTAAAGACATGCACTATCACTTCCTGGCTAAAAAGGAAATGTTTAGAAGTCAGCTGAATACTAAAATTAAAACAATGATGAAAGCAACTAAGCACCAAAAAATATAGACATATATAATGGTGATTTTTTTTTCTGAAATTCAATATTTCCAATTAATCTACACATTTTGTTTAATCAAACCTCCCAATGCCAGCACACAGTCTTTTATAAATTGACAAGCATACACCTGAAATATATGTAGAAAAACCCAGGACCTGGAATAGATAAACTAATTTTGAGGAGAAACCACTGGAGGATTGATACCATGATTTCAAGGTTTAAGTTGTCTTAGTAAAGGAGTGTGGTAGTGTTGGGGTGTTACTAAAGGAGTGTTCCAGTTATAACTGAAACAGAATTGAGACCAGTAATAGACCTACACATATCCTGCCATTTCATCTATTTACAAAGGTATCAGGCAAAGTGTAATCTTCAACAAATAGTTATGAAGCAAATGGAAATTCCTCGAGGAACAAAAGAGACCTTTTCTTTTACCTTTACTTACACAAATTAGTTCATAGCAGACCACAGGCCCTAGTGTAAAAACTCAAATTATAAAACTTTAAAAATAAAACATAAAAACACTAAACACTAAAATCTTAGGAAACAAAGATTCCTTAGGCGGAACACAACAAATTATATATAGTAAAAAAAAAAAAAAAAAAAAAAAAAAAAAAAAAAAAAAAAAAAAAAAACAAAAACAAAAAACAAAAAACAACAACAACAAAAAAAAACCAAGGTTATTGGAGTTATCAAATTTAAAATATTTCCCTTTAAAAGACATAGTTTTGTTGTTGTTTGTTTTTTGGTGATTTGTTTTGTTTGTTTTTAATGAAGTAGATGAGTTAAGGAGATCACTCAGTTGGGAAAGCTTGTGAACCTGAGTTTGAATCCTTATCACTCATGTAAAAAGTCAGCTGGGTAATATGTCCTTGTAATCCCAGCACTGGGGAGATGGAGACAATATGATCACTTGGACTTAACAGGCAGCTGGTCCAACCAAATCAGCATGCTCCAAGTTCATTAAATAGATTTCTAAAAAACAAAGGTAGAGAGAACTCCTGACACTCAAATTAAGAAGTACAAAGAAGCCAGGTGTGATAGCACACATCTTTAACCCCAGCACTCAGGGAGGCAGAAGCAGGCAGATCACTGTAAGTTCAAGGCCTGCCTGGCAACACAGAGAAACCCCGTCTCAAACAAACAAACCACAAAATAACAAAAGCAAAATGAAAACAATATTAAAAGCCAAACTGAACTCATTGCAATGATAAAGATAATGTGTCTGACAGTCCATTCTGCTTTTTGGATACAGAAAAAGAGTGTTAATTCGTCACAGGTGAAAAGTTAAACCACTTTGCAGGAATTTTTTTTTTTTTTTTTTTTTTGGCAATTCCATGATAAGTTAACTTACATAAACCGTATGTTCTAGAATTCAACTCTCAGGACTCTTCACAACAATTCAGAAATTACTTTGTGGCAAATTTTGACAAGGAATGTTCATAGCAACATCACTACAATGTGAATCAAAATATAATTAGTGATGAAGGAATGCGTAAACCAAATTGTATGTATCCATTCATTGGAACATTACTGATCAAAGGGAAGAACAAGCTTCTCATAAAGCAATGACAGATGAACCTCAAAAGATATAGAGGAGTGTGTTCTAGATGATTGTAATCCATGACTTTTAGAATAAACAGAAGTAACATATAAACTGGACCATTGTTGTCTGACTAGAATGTTGCGGTCTTTCTGACTGTAAGGGTGCACAACATAACTTATTCAGCAAAGGAAAATATTTTGTATCTTGATAGTCATTTATCTGTTGATTAATGTGAAAATATTGGATTATACAGTTTAACTATGATTATCTTGGGTTGAAGATGTAGGTCAATGGTAAGGAGCTTGCCTGCCATGCATGAAGCCCAGGTTTCATTCTCAGAACTATAAAAATAAAATGTGCACACTTTATTTTATGTAAATTATACCTAAATAAAGTTTATTAAAGGGGCTGGAGAGATGGCTTAGTGGTTAAGAGTGCTGTCTGCTTTTCCTAAGGACCCGGGTTCAATTCCAAGCACCCACATGGCAGCTCACAGCTACCTGTAATGCCAATTCCAAGGGACCTGACACCTTCACACTAATGCACATAAAATAAAAAATTAAAAAGTTTATTAAAATAAAATTAAAAATAAATCTAATTGAATACGTATAATACCTATGTTCTGAAGATTATAAAATAATTTTGATATTCATTAAAAAGAAACTAAAATCAGTGTAGAAATATCACTGTGATTATTAGTTGGGATATTTAATATTTGGAGGTTTCAATTATGCCCAAATTTTTTTTTTCATTCAGTGTAATCTATATAAAAATCTCAAGAGGACAGTTTTCTTCATATCCAGAATTAAGATGTATGTTTGAAAATAGAGAGCAAACAGTCCTTTCAACTTTTCTTTAAATCACATTCCAGAGAGAATAAATTTCTCAGCAGTGTAGAACTTGCCTCTAAGAAGGTAGTACTGGTCATCAGAAGAAGTCAAAGAATAACTGCACAAAATGCATAATAGAATGGCAGTTGCATGTAGAAGTTGGAAGAGAATGTAGTGGCAGTTTGGGACAGCTTCATTTTATATCCTGAGGTGACTGTTATGCACAGCACTAACCAGATAAGTGACCTCATACTTCTTACATAGATATCTGTGGAGGTGAAAGAGAGAAAATAGAAGAACACTAGAGAATCATCTGCCCTAGCAATTCACATGTAAGATAAGGATACAAACTGGGAAAGTGCCAGATGCAGCTGTCAAAGTAAATACAAGGCATACTGATTATGGAAGGCATGTGAATCAGACAAGGCACAGAAGCAGGGTGACTACAAAAATTAAACAGACAGACTGTGTTAATGTTAATATCACAGGATCTCACTGAAAGATGACTGTCAGTATTAACAGAGAATTAAAAGTTGAACATGGTCCCTGTAAACCTATAAACGTGAATAGTGTCATCTTAACAAAGGCAAAATCTTAAAGCCCTGTAGCTTAATGTCTATGTGTGTCTTGATTTCAAAAGGGCATTGCATATGTGTATATATACATATTGTGCATATATGTATATATTTGTTAACATATATATATATACACACATAAATATAGGCAAGCATACAGGTATGTATACACTGATTCAGAATTTCATTCCTATTTTTTCTTGGTCCATAGACAATACCCGTTTAAGATAAAAGTGCAACAGAGCTATGATGATCAGGAAAATTCTGCCTAGCATTTCTTTGTCTAAAGTAGTTCCATGGCTTTTCACAGGCATAAAGCTCCTCATGTGTGGCTGAGGGTATGTGTTTGTCATTACTCATTTGAAATGTGTTTTTCATATGTGTATGATTACTTGCATGTAAATAACAGTTTTAAAAGTAAATAAGTAATAACAATTAAACATACCCTCATGAAACCACATTTATTACATTCAACATTAGTATTACCCCAGAATGCCACACGTCTTTGGGATCAATACTCCAAATGCCCTTCATTCCAGGAAAGTAGTATCTAAACTCCTTTAACTATAGGTATAGTTTTCAGATAAAGAACACTGTGTAAGCAGAATTTTATCACATGCACTCTTTCATGTCTAGCTTCATCTTAATGACCATCTTCATCAGTAGTTTGTACTTGCTTATGACTCCAGGACAATCAGGACTACACAGAGAAACCTGTCTTAGAAAAAATAAGATGCTTTTGTCCTATAGTTTGTGACAGTAATGAGACAAGTAACTAATACTTTATCTATTTTTTAATTAGAAATTGTCCTTATATATAGTGATGAAAAGTGGCAAACTTTTATCAGTTGATGTTGGATGGTTTCACCTCAAGGTCACTTACAATACTGAAAAGAAGGTATTGATAATGCAAGTGTCACATTAGCATTCAATTACAAGAAGATCCACTTCTTAAATTACGAATGTGTTAGTAGGATTTAGTTTCCAGTGAGCTTTTGGACTAAGAGCCTTATTTCTCCTCTGGCTGTTCACTAGCTGGTTTCTCTTGAAGCTAATCATTCCTTAAAAATGGGTACAACAAAGCTCTACTTAATAAACAAGGCTGAAGAACTTAGAATAGTTTTTTTTTTCATTGCGTATTTTCAGGTATATAATTCATTTATGTAAGAACTAAAATCCTTAGCAAGAAATGTTTTGTATGATTGGTACTGGTTTCTGTGACTAGTTTTCTTAATGGGGCTAAATAAAGCCTAAGAAAACATAAGCAGGACAGAAATGTTTAAGAGATACAAACAAACAAAAAAAGTTTAGACTGAGAATAACAATTTTTAAAAGTGGGATAATCAGGATACAACATTCAAGGAAATAAATAAAACACAGCATGGCACAATCTGTGAAAATGCTAAATCAAACTAGTAGATATTTGTGATTGACTGTTGTGATCTGCATACCTAAGCACAGAATGCTGTAGGATTATGGTCTTACTTAACCATGTGATAGAAGGACTTTACCTGCTCCTGGAAAGGACTTGCTCCAACTGCTCTGTACGTTTTGAACTTCTAAAAATGTGTCCGCCTAAAAGGTCTATATTTATTTTCTGACTTCATTAGCTGGAACAGGTGTTTGGTCTTTTTATCTTCTTATTTGTAATTATTTTTTTCCAAATATGCATGTCTTTACCATATTTCAAATTATGAGACTTGTGTTTATGGAAAGTTGAAAAATAGGAAGATATCTGGAAAAATTCCTAAACCCAATTATTGCCTCATTGCCAAGTTTATCTCTCATACTCCAATTTGGTTTCAAATATTAACCTATAAGGAAAATGATACTCATTCATTTCTAAGGGAAGGGTGAGTAGAGGCAAGACCTGTTCTTGCAACCAAGACAAGGACTAGTAATCCTTTCTATCAACACAACCCCTAAAAAAGGAATGATGGTTAATATAACCATGGGAAGATGCAGCCCCTCCCTGGTAATCAGAGAAAGGCACATTCCATCTACAAGGAGAAGGGGCCACTTTTGACCTCTGAAATTAGCAAAGGCAAAAATGAGTGACAGGGCCTGATGTGGTGGGGGTGGGAGGTTAGTAGACAGGTCCACTTCTGCAGCACTGCTGATGGAGAGTGGAAAGTAGGGACAAAAGTTGGAAGATGACATAATCCTCACGTGATTAGAAACTGATGTGAGCCCAAGTCGTTATATATCCAGGTTTCTTCCTCCTCTGGGTACGAGCTCTTTACTGCCCTGAAGACTTGTGGCCAAGGTGAAGAGAAGGTAAATTTCTTAAATTTCAACAGATTGGTGTGCAGAAACCACCAGGACCCCTTGGAGTGATGGTGGTTGAACATGATGGGAATCCATCTAGACTTGTTTCCCCATATCTCTACTTGGGAGATAGATAATTGCGTATGTTTTAATTTTTATTAATTTACGTATTTGCATGCATGTTTGTGAGTGCATGTTCTACTACGTATTTGTGTGGGTCAGAGGACAGTATGCAGGAGTTGCTTCACTTCTACCATGTGGATCCCAGAGATTGAACTAAGGTTTTCAGGCTAAGTATCAAGTACCTTTACCCACTAAACCAGCTTGCTGGTCTAATAATTGTATATTTGGCAAAGAACCAGGGAAACTGGGGTAAGGGTTGAGAAACACCTAGAGATTTAGTGATAGGGCTTCTCTTGTCCTGGAAAACTTTGCCCTCTTCTTTGCCTTTCCCCAATTCATCAGAGAACATGGTAGCCCTGAAATGTGAGTTAACGGATGGAGAAAAAGATTGGAATAATGATATGGAGACAGGAAAAACTGAGATAATTTAAAAATAGTTCACCTCATTCATTTATAGCCTACAATGGTGAGGTCAAAATGGGGGATAGGAGATGCGGAGTGTTACAAGGGCCAAGCCTGAGAGTGAGGAGTGGCAAACAGGCACATAATTCTAGAGGGATGGATAGCTATCGGGGCAAAAAAACAAAAAACAAAAACAAAACAAGTAGTAGAGTACTTGAAATTACCAGTGATGAGAATCCCAGATTCCAGATAATGATAATATCTCTGGTCTCAGTACTTTCTTCCCTGATCCCTTATTTCTGTTGTAGATCCAGGAATCTTTATTCACAAATACCACCTGGCTGCAAAAAGAAGTGAGAAACTATCCTGCATTTGTACAAGTTAGTGTGTGGGAGTCACTTAGACTGGGATTCTAGGGGTGGGAGTTGTGAAGGGACAATGCTGGGTAAAACTGGCAGCCTCAATGGCTCTTCAGAGGAGCCATTCAATTTATCTTCTGGCAAAAGGTTTGGGTTCGGGGTTGAGGGGTTGGAAAGAGAAAAAGGAGATTGGACAGGAAGCTGAGGAAGAAGCTGAAATATTTTCACTTTCTGAAAGCTGGAACTGTGGGTCAGTAAGGTGTGGGAAAATGGACTAATACGTTGATTCTATTCAAAAGTAAGAAAATAATCTGTTTCTGTATTTTCTCTGTGGAGTTAAACAGGAAACAACAACATCATGCAAAAGTCCTGCAAAGAAAAAGAAGAAAAGCCCAAGTGCAGTGAGCCAAAGGTAGAGGGTGAACAACCCCATGGAGCATTTGAAGCCCGGCAAATGGAAGGGAATTTCAGACAGAGGCTGCTTCAGTCTCTTGAAGAATTTAAAGAAGACATAGACTATAGGCATTTTAAAGGTGAAGAAATGACAGGAGAGGAAGATGAGATGGAAAGGTGTTTGGAAGAAATAAGAAGTCTGAGAAAAAAATTTAGGGCTCTGCATTCTAACCATACTCATTCTCGGGATCATCCCTTTTAAAGCAGTAGCCTCAGAAATTATTTTCTGTTAATATTTCCACTGTTTTCTGTTTCAATTTTTCTTTATAAGTAATTGCCATCATTTCACTTCAATATTTCAGTATCAGTTATGGTCATATACAAACCTCATGTTGTCTACACCTCACCTTCCAGATTTACCCCACGGATTTAATAAGAAGTTTTATTCATTTACATGAAAGGACAATCATTTAGTAATTTATCGTAAACTAAAAATTGCAAGCTATGAAGCACTGTGTATGCCTTATGTATTCATTTATGCATAATACCATGCAAAGCTTATTCTATGCCAAAGAGGTGAATCTATGTATTCTGTGTTCTCTTGTTTTCCATACAATGAATATATATATATGTAATTTTAATTTTGTATCCCAAAAAGGAAAACAATTAGACATAAATGAAAAAGATTTATCAGTCGCTTTTGGAAAGCAGTGGAACAGCATCTTTTTAATAGCAGAAGTATAAGAAAGGCATGTCAACTGCTAATTATTTTTGGATTCCTTAGCCAGAGTAATAAACTGAGCATTATAAAATACATATGCTTAAGACTTGATCATTTCGTAGGGAAAATATTTGCTTTACAGATATTTTATATAGAACTGCTATGGGACAATAGCTCTGGTCTATATTTGGTGAGATCTTATTTGCAAATGTGCGTACAGAAACCTAGCTTGTATAGAGCCATCCATTTGAAAGAGGACATGGAATGTTTCAATATATGCTCAAGAACAATGCCTGAAGGCAGAGGTGGGGCCTTCCACCTTAACCTTCAGCTTTTAAACTACACCTTTGTTTCTACCCGCATCCTGCTTTGGTCTTTTGCTCTCTGATAGCCCCACAGCCACTGATGCACTGGGGGCCTTATGTATCAAAACTTCACTGAATTTCCAATGAATTGTTCTCTCAGTGTCTTCTTAAACCTCAGCCTTCTAGTGGCATTTAAAACAGGTAACACTGCTGGAATCTTGCCAGTTCCACACTGTCCTGGGACATCTTTTTTTTTTTTTTCCCTAAATACATACTGAGAAATAGAGTTGTTGGGTCATAGATTAATTCTATTTAATGATTACAGGAATTTCTACTCTGCTTTTCAAATATGACCATTAACAATGCATAATGTTTCTAATTTCTCTACATCGTAGATAATGTGTGTGTGCTTGTGCAGGCCTGAAGTTGATGGATGTCTTCCTTGATCTTCCCCAACTTTATTTACTGAGGCAGGGTCTCTTGGTAAACCTTACCCACCAACTTCAGATACTATATCTAGCCAGCCCTTCCTAAGTATCCTGTGACTAAATCCCAAGTACTAGGATTACAGGCAGCTGCTACACCTGCCAAGCTTTCATGTGGGCTCTGAGGATCCAAACTTTGGTCCTCTCACTTACACAGTAAGCATGTTTATACACTGAGCCATCTCCCTAGACAACATGTTTTTTTGCTTAAATGTTCTTATTGCAGTCACCCTAGTAGAATTGAAGTCATGTCTTTATGTGGTTCTCTTCCCGGTTCCCTTTTTTAAAATTATATTTCTTAATTAATGAAAATAGGTGACTGTAGTAGCCTGTTGTTTTAAGTTAGCATCTGAAAATTAAATGCTACAAAATACAAAATCTTCTCTTAGGGCAAAGATGGACACATTTAACTTCCCCAAATCCAAGAACAGTCAAACATTTTATTGACTATTAGTTATAAAAATGGATTATATTAATGTTCCTCATAGCTGGATAATTCAATGGACAATAATTTTGTTCTATGTACATGATGTGTTAACTGACATAAGAAACAGTTGTCAACACTCTTACACTGGTGACTTTCACACTGGAGTCTGGCTATTTTGAGAGTTATGTGGTAGGCAAGGGGATACTGTTAATAATGGCGTGATAACTTTTACTTTGTGGTAAATAATTACATATATTTAACATTAAACACAGCCTCCCTGTAATTATCCATCATACAAAACAAATTTTAGGAAACTGTATTGGCAGTGATGCCTGACATGTGTTTTCTGTACACACACATCCTAGGGATGTGTGGCTCCTTCTCTCCCTGTGAACACTAAGGAAATGCTTGGCAAACTATGCCTCACTGCATTTGGATCACAATTCAAAGACTGGGCTTCCTTCCAGGGACATAAAAAGGTATGTAAGGGAATCTAAGAGTCATCCATGTGACTACCAACCCTCCCTGTTCTCTTTTTAGATAATTAATAGGCAGAGGAAGCACGGCTGGTATTTCATGAATTGACTTCTAGCTCTTTAAATCTAAGCTGTTTTGGATTTTTAGTAGGTACAAGTTAATCCTTCTGATTTTATTAGTGTGGCTTTCAAACTTGGTGTCACTTTCAGTTTTAAGACACAGTAAATAGCAATATATTTTCCCAAACAGCAAGGAAGTATTGTTGAATGCCCCCAGGTGATATCTTGGCCTATAACTTGATACTCTGTTCTTTTTTTTTTTTTTCTGCATTATCTTTCTAGTCAAAAGAAGTTATTTTGCCCAGCAATGGGAACAGACATTTTCATGAAATGTAGCTAGTCAGGGATCCATCTTTGTAGGCTACTACTGTTGATTCACACTAAATCTGAAAACTATAGTGAACATTTATGTATTACGGTGTGTGGCACCCATTTATACCACAATTTGTAGTGGGTTGTTATGTGTATTTTAGACGAAACGTTTTCATTTTTCTGGTGTCTTATAAATACTGAAAGCCACTTGGTCCTGCACTCCCACATGTATTATGACCTCTGGCTGAACAGCAAGAGCTCACTCTACATTGTTATCTTTTGAAATGTACTGGAAGATTCAGTGCAGCCACATTCAAAGAGATAATAATCTCTTGCAAGTACCTTCTTTGCAAACAGACAAATCATTCTTCTCCCAGCTCCAGACTTATCTGTACTTTCCACTTCTTCTAAATGAAAATAATAATAATAATGTCATGGTCTGCTGATGTGGCATTACATTCTTTTGCAAAGGAATTTCCAAATGGTACAAGTAATCATTTATGTATGGTTTTACACTCTGTGTGGATGATCACCATTTTAATGGAACTCTTGCCTCTTCCTCTTGTTTTAGGCAATTTTTTTTAACCCACAGGTCTAAAAAGTAAAGTACCTTCTTTATACAATAATTTGGGATTCAGGGCTAAAATTCTGGATGACAGTCCACATCTTAGAAAACAGTAGTCTACTTGCTCATAAGGATTTTATTTTCTTCCAACCACAGGAATAGGAGGAACTGGAGAAACTCACTAGGGTGCTTGGCCATACAGAAAACCTCTTTGAACTTCTGAGCCAAGCAGCCTGCTTGTTGTTCAAAATGTCTTCATTTTTAGATTTTAAAAAAAATTCTCTCTATAGCAGCTACAATGTTTAGTACTTTAAAAAGAGTATGGTAGAGATACCATCATGATTTGTTTAACATCTATGACACAAAGAACCCAGAAGTGGTGACACCAAATCTGAGAGATACATCAACAAAAGCAGAAGAATTAATTTGCTGCTACTAAAAATCTAGAAAAAGTTTAGCCACCCATGTAGTACTGACTCTGCAGGCAGAGGGGATGCATGGTGGTGATATCTTCTGAGACTCACCATAGTTTCAAGAGAGCCATTAACGTGATTGGAAGGTGAATCCCTGGAGATCCTAGGATATTCCAGATGTTTGGACAATGAGACATTAACTGAAGAAAGCTATAGACATGGAGTGGAGCTTGCCCAAGAGAAGGTCTATTGCTTCAAGCAGCAGAACTGGAGGGGTGGGGCCACTCCAGCCCTCTGGAGATCCATCAGGAGCTCTAAATGTTGGCCAGTGGAATTGCAGAATTTTTTTTGCTTGCCTTTGCTGCATGTTTTAGTCTTGATTTGCTCTGATCATTCTTTGTTGTCACTCCATTCTTCTTTTTGGAATTGATGGTTACATTTGGAGCCACTGTGTTAGAATTGTGCATTTTTTAAAAAAATATTATAGGAGTCCACTGTTATGATACCTCCTAGAGTCTCGGAAGAGACTTCAGACTTTTAAACAATGTTGGAATGGTTAAAGGTAGTGGAGGATTTTGAAGTTGGGTGGGGCATATTTTTGCATTGTAAAATAAGATTATGGGAATAAGAGGTGGAAAGTAACAGCTTAGAAGTGATAGACTTGGGTGTCAAGTTGACAAGGGGTTGAGCTGTGATCTTTAGTATTGTCAACTTGACAGGATCTAGAATCAGAAAGGAGACAAATGTTCAGGCTCATCTGCAAAGGATTACTTAGATTAGGTTAGCCTCTGAGCATGCATATGAGGAACTGTCTTGATTAGGTTTATTGAGATGAGAAGATCCACTCTGAAAAAAGGCATTGCCGTTTCCCGGGTTTCGATCTTGAACTATATAAACCAAGGAAACTACCTGAGCACACAACTCTCTGTTCTGGATTTTGAACACAATTCAACAAGCTTTTTCAAGCTCCTGCCACAATGAAGGGCTATCCCCTGGGACTGTTACCCAAAATAAATTCTCCCTTTTCCTACCTCTCTCCCTTCTTTCCTTCCTTCTTTCCTTCCTCTCTCTTCTTTCCTTCTTCCCTTCTTTTTTCCTTAAGTTTATTTTGTTAGTTTATTTTATCAGAACAGATACATAACTAACACATATGATAATCCTATTTCTATTTTTAATAACTACAAGGCCTAGAACAATGGTTCTCAACCTGTGGGTCTTGACCCCCATTGAGGCCATATATAGATTATCTTCCTGAATATCAGATGTTTACATTGTGATTCATAACCTTAGCAAAATTACAGTTGTGAATATTAACAGGGGTAATTTTATGGTTGGCATCACAACATGAGGTACTCCTATACAAGTCTGTTTTCTACACCATCTTCATCATTTTACCTTCCCATTAATAATGTGTCTCCACATTTTTACCAATATTTATTTTCCATTTTGAGGCTTAAATAACCTGGTGGGCATGACATATTGTTCTATTGCTGGCAGTAAATGATACAGGACATTTGTTTATGTGATTTATAGCCCCTGGTTATATCTTTTTTGTAGATTCAAGTCCTACCATTTTAATTGTGAAAGGTTTATTCTCCTTTTTTTGAGTTGCAGAAGTTGTTAACATATTGTGCATATTAATCATTTGATTGTGGTTAGGGGAAATACTTTGTATAGCATTAATCTTTTAAAAATGTTAATAATTAACACTTATAAAATTATAATTTTAGGAGATTTTTCTGTGAGTACTTAATAACAGTCTGTATTCTACTGTTGTTTTGTGATAGTTGCTGTATATATATTTTATATTCAATTGACAGTGTTATCCAAGTGTCCTCAGTTTGAAAGTGGAGTGTTAAAGTTTACACTATTATTCTCTTTTAAAGACAGTTGTTTAATGATAGCTTTTTTCTCTGTTGTTGGATTATATTAGAACTTATTGATAAACTGAATATTTTAATCACAGTATAGTGACCTTCTTTGTCTCCTGTATGGTTTAAAGAAATTTTTTTGAAGTCTGAAGGATGGTGAAA